GCCTCGGCTCTTCAAATTTTACAACAGAATACAGCAGTCTTTTAACTTCGAAGATTTCTGCATTATTCCGGGCTGGTTCTAGATCGATGAAAAATAATGACAGTGGATATTTATCAATAGGATGTAAAATAGAAGATATATGTCTTACCGAATGGCCGATATCTTCCAGATCTTTTTTTATAGCGGTAGTGGGTGTGGTAGAGTGAAGACCTCTCAAAACCACTCTATATGTTTTGTCTTCTTTTAGTTGATAGCAGTGGAAGTCGTGATTGAGTGCTGTCAAATGATTTATAAGTTTTTTTATAATCATCTTTAGTATTGGTGTTAATCTTTATATCGTTGACTCGAGAAAAACACCGGAAGTTGGTCGGTCCGATCAGATTAGCTATTTCTTGACCGAACTGAATGAAATTGTCAATCTTGCTTACATAAATCGGAGGTGGCACTGGTTCAGTGAAAGTTCTAGGTTCAGTGATTTCGTTAATTTTATTATTGGCTGTAACAGAATTGTTACTGGATGTGTTAGTTGATGGTTTAGTGTCAGGTTTCATAGCTGAATTATTACTAGTTTTTGATTGTTTATTTACTTTGAGAGCTTGCTTTGTTTTAGCGGATTTGTTTTTTTTTTTATTAGGTGAGTTGCCCGCCGAACCGGGGGCAGAGTTTCTATGGCGCTTTTGGAGAGTTCGCCTTGTTAAATACTGAGAATCAGTCTCACTGATTTCGGAGAAAGGAGTCTCTTCATCTGATTCGTCAAAAGAAATGTTCTTATCAGAATCCATACCTCTAAATAATAATATATACAAAAAGAAGAGAGAAAAAAAAAAAAAGTATCACTAATAAGAAAATTTACAAAACAAATACTTAATAACTAATCTATTTACAAATATATATACAAATATTAAAAAAAACATTTTTATAAATAAATAAAATAGAGTCTCAGTAGAAAAAAAAAATATTAAAATAAAATAATCAATTAAGAAATAAAAACAGAGGAAAAAAAAAAAATATACTGTCTTAGGTACGAACTCAAGATATTCTGAACGTAAAATAAAGCGCCGTGACCTTGAATTTGAAAAATAAGACCCGCTGAGGGGAGTTATCTGCCACGTCCCCATCCCTATCCATATCCCTATTCCTCCCCCCCCCCCTACTTATTTTATCGTTATGCTTAATTTTTATTTTATTTTATATATTTTCACTTAACGAGCGGAGGACCCTCAACTCCATACATCTTATCAAGACCTTAAGTGGACAGGAAGAGATAACCAACAAAAATCATTCAACGCACCTTCAAATACCACAGGTAGAAAAAGGTCAAGGTAATTCAAAGTATCGTTCCACTAGTGCACTGGTCCGATATGACACTGATATCATGGTTTGTTTTGTTTCAGAGGGATCGGAAAAAAAAAAAAAAAAAAAAAAAAAAAATCTGCCACGTAAACTGTCTCTAGCAATCGAGTACGAATTTAATGTTGCTAATTGTTAATAAAAGTCACTCACCTCACTGATTGTAATGTAAAAATGTTAAATTGTTTATAAACTCACTGTTTACAAAGTCTGAGAACAGGATTTGAGATAATAAGCACATAACAAACTAGCAAAGACGGAACGATACGAATATAGAACCTCAGTTTCGGCCATGACACTTACGACTCAAATTTTTCTTATTTTGTATATTGCTTCCTCACTACCGAAGGTAGGGAAGCATTGTGTTCGTGCGAGAAATTAAAAAAAATTTTTTGCTCAGAATCGAAAATTTTCACTCACGTTTTACGTTTCAGACATCAAGGATCAAATTTGGTTCGGTGTCTGTCTGTCTGTCTGTCTGTCTGTCTGTCTGTCTGTAGTCAAATCGATGTGACGGGCATATCACCTAGTACCGTTCATCCAATCTTCATGAAATTTTCAGGGATTATGCTGATCGGTGCCTAGATGGTCCCATATCAATTTTATCAAATTCCACCCAGCACTTCCGCTTACGCACGCGCAAACGTATATTTTTAGATATGCCAATATTTCAGAAAGGGCTCGTTCGATTTGGCTCAAAGTTAGATAAAAGGTAGACTTTGGTGAAAAAATGATGTAGTGTCAATTTCATTGAATTGCGTCCAACACTTTCTCTTATATGTGCACTACTAGTCTGCCGTCCGCCGTCCGCGCATTTTTTCTGAAACTACTAGACCGATTTTTTTCGAATTTGGATATAAAATCAGAATTCACCCGAGGTTCATCCTCCTTCAACGACATTACTATTCGCCTTCTAGTTTCAAAATGGCGGCCGAAAAACCTGCGTTGCTATAGACTGTAGCGCCTAAACGAATGAACCGATTTTGATGAAACTTCGCTAAAGTCATTTTCTCTATGCCATCTAAATTTATCTATACTACATACTTCAACGAAAAGAAGCTCAAAAAAAGTTACGAGGGATGGTAAAATTAAATTCCGAATAACTCAAGAAGTATACACATTTATGTATATTTATGTAATATTGTATATGGTTTTTTAGAAGTTTACGGAATTTCTTAAAAAACAAAAAAAGAATCGTCAAAATCGGACAATTAGGAGCAAAGATATCGTCTCTAGTTTTTTTTAGATGTTCTATTGCAAAAGGTTTATCTTTTTTTTGATTTCTGAATGTGTTACTGAAGTAATGCTATTTTTTTTATCATATTACTAATGATTAAAAAAGATTTTAGTCCAATAATTAGAATCACCCTTTATTTATTTTTCTTTATAACTAGGAATTTAATGTTACTTTATATGTAGAATTGTTTGGAAATAATATACCAAAGAGAAATAATTTGCAGTGGTTTTTTTCAAATTGATTATCGTTATATATATATATATATATATTTAAATCTTTCGTGCTGAAGCCCCTCCTCCAAAATTAAATCTTGATTCGGTAATGTATATACTATTACTAGAGCATAAGTTCGTATGTAATAATTTTCAACTTTAATGTGTATTAAAGGTGATATTTTGTAGTCTGCAACTGATATAAGTAGTCTGCTACTATGGAAAATAGCAGATGAAAATAAAATATGAAATTATTCTAATAAAGCATAAAGAAATATTGAATTTTTATGCACTCTTGTAAAACAATAAATACATTTATACATAAGACCTTTTGAACTAACAGTATTGAATTTCATGTTCAGTATGCATTTTTTTTTTTTTTTTTTTTTTTATTAAGCATAATCAAGTATGAAATATTCAAATACGACCCTCTGTTGTTGAATGTTGAAGGGTAACTGTAATCAGCTATTCCGATTCTGCTTCTCTCAGAGATTTTATTCTAATTCGAAAAATTGTATACCTTGTAATATACAACGGAAACGGTGAGGAAGCTATACTGACCTTACTTGGCAGACGTTTTTTTTCGATATTGTTGCTCCAAGTCTACGAAAAATAAGGTTGGAGGAACTTTTTACTCCTGGCTGTTCTTTACCCTCTTTCAGAACATTTTTAATCTAGCGCATTATGAAATCTAAATTATTCTGTTCTTCTTCTATTGCTTCGGTTGGTGTTGAGGGGAGTGGATTTCTTATAACCAGTCGTAGAGCTCGCTCTTGCCGTAAATGGTTCGTATGAATATCCGCTGTGGTTTATGTTAGATATTTTCCAATTTTTTTCTGCATGTTTTAGTTGTATCTGGTATTATCTTCGTTTCCTTTGTTCTGTTTAGACTTGAGTAGCTTCCAGTTGGGTTCCAGTAGCTTTGTTCAGTTAGGAGCATGGTAACTGAATTTTTGTTATCTTTTTAACGAATATCGGTGGTGGTCAAGGGTCTTTTGGAATCGGAGCAGACTCCATCACCTCTCTATCATTCTGAAGAACCTGATAGGGGTTGGGGGTAAACAATAGAGATTCTTCAGTTGACTCTTGTGACGATGTGCCTGGTTGATGCTGAGGTTCTTCAATTGTCTCTTTTGATGATGTACCAGACTGGGTTTCATGATCTCCGGAGCTAACAGAGGTCACTGGAGGTGTTTGAAGCGGCTTATGTTTAACGGGTGAAGAACGAGGCGTCGAGCATAACGACCGAATTCTGTTAATAGACGCTCTGCTAGACATGACCTGATGGTGATATCGCATAAAAGAAAAGAAAGAATAAATAAACAAAACAATAAAAATATAATTTATAACTGCAAACAGTAAATACCAATTGTTTTTATGTACCCTTGAACTGTTTTTAATGAATAATCTAAGAGATTACGCTGAAAACTAGGAAATTCTGAGAGTCGAAGTAGAAACACATTTTTTCGCATCAGCTGACGATCAGCTGTCCTGTAAACATTGAATGAAAAATCCAGTTCATAGAATAATAAATAAACAATTCGTTTTTTTTTTTATTTTATTTATATTTTACGGCTTCAACCACTTGGGTCATCATTGCCTTATTTTCACTAAAAATTAGATTTTATTTTCAAGCTTAGAACGTTTCAGAAACGAAAATATTTTGTCAATCTCATTCGTATTGTTCTGCAAAATGGAGTGTAAATCGCTTGTCAAGTCACAAGAGAGTCTAAATGTTTCTTAAGTTCTGCATTCCGTTAAAATGTGTTTTACTGTCAGAGGAGTACCACAAGTTTGACTTGTTGGCGAAGAATCACGGGCCATCAGGTATCCATGAGTAAGGCGTTTATGACTTTTACGCAGGCACGTAAGAACTACCTCCTCTCTACGGTTATTTCTATTTGACGATGCCCAAGAGGAAACGTCACTCTTAACCTCCCTCAATTTATTTTCGGTAACATTCGACCATATCTCTTCCCATTTTGTCTTCATTTTCTGTTTGATATTTACAGTTATATAATCCTAAACAGTTCGTTTTGTCCTGTGAATAATTTTATTGTAGTTTTTGCCCTTATGGATGTCGGGTTTACCATATAAATTATGATAACTATTGGTAGGTTTTTAGGAACAGTTCCTTGGTAGGTTTATCTGCAATTAAATGTTTTTGTGATATTGAAAAACTTTAGGATCCTACTTATATTTATAGGGACCATTCTTATCTTTCATCGTCTTGTATTTAAATAGAACCTCAATAATGGCGACATTTTGAGTTATCATGTATAACAAAATAATTGAAAACGTCCTTTTTCGAAGTTGGTTAACAATTAAAATGACCAAACTGAATTCTCTTATCATTCGTACACACCCACAAATTGTTTACTGGATATTAAATACCTATTTATTGGTTTCCATTTTATAACTAACAGCTAATAATTTAGTGTTTATTAAAATAATTTTCATGCAGAAGATATTAAAAAAAAATGTAGGTAATAGTTGGTTAAACAGGAAAAAATAAAATATTTTACAACGGTTTATACCTTCTTAAATTCAAATACATTATTTATAATTACAAAAATTAAAAAAAAATACCAATTATTATCACAGATTTGTTAGTATTACTTAAATTAATAATAATCTTATGACAATTATGAATATTTAGGTATTTCATTTCTTCATTAGAATATAAGTTAGTATAATAAAATCAGTGGATTTGTTCAATCATAAAATTTCACTGATTCAGGCAAAGATAAAAAATCAAATAAAAAAAAATCACAAGTTATTTCATTTTAAATCTATTTTACCATATAACAAAAAATATTATAAAATTATTTTGAGTTTTCAGATTTTCATTAGATCTACACGAATTGGATTTTTTGAAATCGGGGAGTGGAAAAAAACATTGGGCTCATAGATCAGAGGAACTTTTGTTTCAGGGCTGAGAGTCAGCTCAAAATTGTCGAGAATGTGAGCGAAAAGAGTTGCAATTTCCATGAGCGCGAACCTCTTACCTGAAAAAAGTAGATATATTTTTTAAATCACATAGTCACCATGTGTACGATTAATATAGTTCAAATGAAATCTTATATGTATATATATATATATATATATATATATATATATATATATATATATATGAACAAAAATAAATTATATAGACTTAAAGTTGAAAACATACCAAGACAAACTCTCGGTCCTTCCGAAAATGGAAGATGCGTGAATTTGTTTGGCCTTGTGCTCTCATCTAACCATCTTCCAGGATCGTATTTCTCAGGTTTGGGGAAATTATTCGGATCCATATGAATGGTTTGGAGTGGAATTACAATTCTTGTACCTTTATCAATTTTTACTCCTGCTACGTCTGTGGGTTTGTCATTAACTCTTACTACAAACTGGAGGGATGGATGCAGCCGTAAGGTTTCTTGAAAAAATTAAAAATTATATGAAATATTAACAGGTAATAAATGATAATATAAACATAATAAATATTACGAAGACAATATATAAAAATACGAATCCAGTATTTATTTAATCATCAAAAATGGTTGGATCATATGTCCTATAGTTCCTAAAATAGGCGAGATCACGCCATCAATAGACACAGCGTTGGGTTTAGGAACTTATCCTAAGTTAAGATTATTACTTCAATATTTTGTAGGAATAAATATTATTAATGCTAAGAGAAATCATATCCCAAGAATGGCAAAGACGGTGGGACAACAGCGCACCTAGCAAATTAAAAATAATAAAGAAAGAGGTGCAATGGTGGACCAGCTCCAGACGCGAGAAGAGGTCGTCCTCACGCGGCTGAGGATCGGACAAACTAGACTGACTCACCTCGACCTCATAACAAAAGATGTTTTCCCTAGAGGTCAAAAGTGTGACCAGTCATTAACTATAAAACATATTTTGGAAGAGTGACCTTTTTACACAGAAAGATTAAAATATCTCGGAATACCCCAGAATATATCAGCATCCCTGGGAAATCAAGAATAAATCGTTACCAAAGTTATCAAGTTTCTAGATAGTGAATGACTTAAAAAACATATATGACAAGTTTATAATTAATGATCCTTTCAGATTTATTATTGTTATTTTTTTTTTAATTGGTTATTTGTTTATTAATTTCAATTCATTTATTGATTTTACTGCTATGTTTTAAAAGTTTATACATTTGTCTATTATAATTTGTCTATAAGTGTTTTAATCTCACAGTATTTTATTTTAAATTTAAAACATTTTTACAATATTTAAAAATGATTATTTTTTTAACGTTTCGGCTCCAAGAGGCATTTTCAAAAATTCCTTTTCTGCTAAAAAATAAATAAATATTAGTCCTATAAAAACTTTATTTCTTAAAATATAATGTATATAGAAAACTACTCTATGGCAGTGTTTGTTTTATCTAACATAAAATGTATAATAGACTCAAAAGACAAGAACTAAACCGACGATACGGCCAACTATACCGACTACTAAACAGAAAATCTAAACTTTCCATTGAAAACAAGCTACTGATCTACAAGACAATACTGAAACCTATTTGGACTTACGGAATCGAACTGTGGAGATCTACAAAAATTTCTAACATCAAGCGCATCCAATCCTTCCAGTCAAAAGTCCTTCGAACATTAGTCGATGCTCCTTTCTATATAACCGACAAAACCCTACATCATGACCTCAACATCCCATTTGTCCTAGACCGTATCCCAGAAAAATTCTCCAAATTTCACGATCACTATCAAGCACCTCCCATCCCTATAATCCTCCAAGAAGGTTGAAACGGCAGTGGCCTCGCGGCCTTTTGTAGATTGTATAAATTGGAGTTCTGGCAATGGCCAGATTCTTCACTCAAGACATGTGTGTATGTGGCTAAAGTGCTCTCGACCAATCTCCGCTGGCTTTAATACCGGTGACGCGGTTGGGAGAGTAGCGCAGGGTTCTCCTGGAGTTCCCTCGCCTGATTGTATATAGGTATGCATGTGTTTTTTTTTTCTTAGTTTTAATTTTCTTATTTTTTTAGGTTATTTTATTTTATTATCTATTGTATATTCTTTTGATTATTATTTTGTTTCTATTTATTTTATTTTTTTGTACATATAGTGTGAATGTCATCCTACCTCACTATAACCAATGTCCAAGAGACAGATTGTTATAATACTCAATAAAGAAAAAAAAAAAACATAAAATGTGATGTTTTATTTTTCTTTTTCTTCTGTATCTCCACAAAATTTCTCTTCTTCTCCTCATTTTATCAAAAACTTCATTCTTAATTTCTTTTCTTTTTTTATCACCCTTATTTTATCTCCCCTGAAATGTAGTGTAGACTCTCACTCATTGAAGTACATATCTATTTTAAGAATATTCTAGAAATAATGTTTTTATTGGAATAACCTTTTTTTGTTTTTTTAAAACAGAAAGAATTTTTGAAAATGTCTCCTGGAGCCGAAACTTAATATAATCAAATTACATATTGATAAATCAGTAGAAACATTGCCAGATTTGGTATTATTAAGCAACATTTTTTAATTGACAGATACGCTAACCTTTAATTATCTCGAAATAAGATGAAATGTACTTACACCACATTCGAAATAAACGTTCCAATTAATAACATTAACTTCTCTTGTTAAATAAAAATTAGTAATAACAATTATTACCTTGAATACATGCATCTAAATACTTCATGTCCCTTACAGAATCCCAAGAGTATCCACCGTATTTTTTCAGCACATTTCTGACTTCTTGTCGAGCCGTTTCTTGACAATCTTTCGCTTGGGATAAATCAAATGCCAAGTGCAGCATAACAAGGGTCGTCGTGTCAAGTCCAGCGAAGAAAAACATGAATGCTTGCGCTATCACCAAGTCATCGGTTATATCTGGTAAACAAAATAAGGTATATATTAGATACAAACATTTTTATATATGCTTATCTTTTCAAAAGTTAAAAATAACTTTTTAAAAAATAAAAACATAAAATATTAAATAAATATTATCTTTTTATGATATCAAAAAACATTATGGTCCAGTTTTTAGAATTTCAATTGAAATTTTTTTTAAAGACAATTTTCATGATTAGGCAAACCGTTTATTAATTTTCTTCTTCCTTCATCTTCGTGCCTCTGATCATAGAAGTACCCTTAGACACACCATTCCTCTCGAATGTGAGCCAAAAGCTTAATTTTAATTTTATAATGTTTTTTCGTTTTCTTTTTGTCTGAACTGATGACGTATTCATTGTATTATAACTGTAATACAATGAATACGCCTGCTTTTGTAAATTTACCAGTCTGTCGGACTTCCATAATTTTTCTTGGGTTTTGCTTCTCATGTATACTGTGTACATGCCAAAATAAATTAATTGTCTTCTATGGACTGAAATGAAGCTTTTGGCACACATTCGAGATGAATTTTGCTGGTTATCCTACAGGTTATCAACATATTCTAGCTAGAGTGGGTTGAGATTCATTATGTGGGTCAACCACAAAACAACTGTAATGACTTATTATGTATATAATAAGCAAAGATATTAAATATAATCGAAACGATCTATTCCATTTTCTGCTTCTCGTACTTTCTTAATATTCAAACCTTCCTTTGAAAAGCCTCCCTTTTTTACTGGTATTGAGCTGTAGCAGCTAATTAAAGTATTATACCCCCCTTACTCTTATTACCCCTTATTATACCGTTCGTCAAGGGGATAATGGAAACCGCATAGGGTCCTACCGGAATGTGTTTCAAAGTTCCTTACGGGGTAGAAAGAGTTCCTAGCAAAACTCGTTGAACATGGTAGGAACATCCACTGTGCCGAAATTGTGGGGTATCGGTGTCCGCCGAGCATATTGTGTTAGTCTGTCCGTCCTAAGGCGCACTGAAGGCTAAGCTGCTGAGGGAGACCGGGCTCTACGTTCTAATTGATCAATCTCTACTTGATCAAATACAATCTCTCTACTAATTACCTAGGAAAACTACCATACTAAGGACTTTATGTGCGGTTGGAACAAACTACTCATTTTTATTGGGTCAGAGAGAAGGAGCTCCAATTGCAAGTCAGGAAAAGCAAAATGATGAACAAACCGTGCAATAAAAAGAGTGTTCACAGAAAGAAAGAAAAAAAAAGTTTTATCTTTAGCAGTGAGTTTTAACGCAATTTGAGTTGCTCTCAACTACTGCAAACACCTGTATAGCCTAAGGGTATTAAATAAATAAAAAATAAATATATGGAAAACATAATTGTTTATTCTTACCAAATTCTTGGTTTTCTCTGCTATTTTCTCTGCTGAAAATGACCATCTTTTTGAGTCGCTTCATATCAACAAGAACTTGCGCGTAATCATTTCTTCCGCAGTCCAGTTCAGATCTTTGATTAAGGAGAGTATGCATGAGAGAGGAGAAATAGTTGTGTAGTTCATTAGCCATGAACGTCATATTGAAAAATTGTGACAGTTTTGTAAAATAGGTAAGCCCATACTGCTGAAACATTCTGTAGCGACTTCCTTCAAAAACTGTCTTACAGTTGAGAACTAGCTCCTCTTTTCCAGCTGGAAGTATCGCAGTCCCGAACATGCTGTTCATAAAGCTCTCAACAGCGAATGCTGTGAAATCCTCTTTGATGAGTGTTTTAGGACGTTTATCGACCAATGCTTGGCAGGATGCAACTAGCTCTGGGAAAATCGCTCTCATTTTTCCAGTGGTAAACGTTGTTAGCAGCTTATTTCTAAAAATTCAAACGCACATATTAAATAACTCAGTAGATAGATTTATAAATGTGGACGGGGTATAAGACCTGATATATGACTCAAATGATATAGGATCTTTCAAATTAGTGAAAATGAAGGAAAGTTTGTTATGGGACTTGAGGACAAGACGTAAGTTGGTTATGGTAGATTTTAGGAATTTCTACTATCTGAAAGAATAGGAATATAAGAGAGAGATTTGTATATGAAAGGAGTGGTAGGTGATTGTGAGGAGTTGAGAGAAGGAGGGGTGGTACTGTTTTTGGTTGTTTAGCTGTTAAAAAAAAAAAAGATTTATAACAATAAATATTGAACAATGTATCACCGAACAAATATCTCCACTTCGTTGGTTTCATAGTTTGATATAATCTAATTCGCTATTTGACACTTTACATTTATGATAAAACATGAAAGGGAAGAAAAATATGAAGCGAGTGTTTCGGCGCAGAAGTCAATCAATCATGTTAAGCTACAATTTAAAAAATATCTAATGACATTCATTTGTAAGAACTGGATATACAGAAATAAACCCTTGATTGCCCTGTTGTGTTACTTTTTTTTTTGTTTTTTTATAGATAACGAATGAACGGTTCAATGCGCCCAGTTTTAGATAAGTCATGTTTGCATTTATGTAGCACAAGACATCAATTTCACAATTACTCATAGGGAAATATAAATATGTCACTAGGGTTGACTTTTTGTTACATAATTGATCTTGTCACACGTTTTAGCAAATGCTGCCTGTTAGGCTCTCACAACAAAACAGCTGAACTAATATCGCCTTTTATAAGACTTTACGTTATTTAGAGCCCGAAGGATGTTTTAAGCAACATATTTGTTTCATCCACCATTTTAAAATGGCGGCAGATCGTTAACGTATATATATTTACTTTCACTTACCTATTATGAATTATATAGTAAGGAAGGAATATTTCGACCGTTAAAAATTTTGTTTTTTCAACAGAAAAGCACGTTTGGAGGTTCCTTGAACCGAAACGATCAGGTCTTTCAAAATGATTTCTGTGTTTGTTAACATCCTAGTTCACAAACGAAAACTTTAACGAAACTTAAATTACGTATTTAAAGTATGCATGTGTCTTACAGCAAAGTCGGCTTGATAAAAGTGAAACTTTATATGACCGTTTTTAAAAAAGGTTTTCGTTTATTAGGAAAACTTTGGTGCGGTGTGTGCATCACTTGATTTTCTCTTACCACTCTACTTAGAGTGGAAGTAGGTATTTTTATAATACTGAAAACATCACACATATACATTATTATTGGAGCCCGAACATTCCTCATCAATGACATGTCATATTAAGCAATTGTTACGTTTGGAAGCCTATCCTAAAGCCAGATATCCATTATCTTCGCGAACTAACGCCGCTCCAAGAGTGTTTTAAGAGTAATGGGCACGTTTCAGCGCTCTTAGCATGTAAAAGTTCGAGAACCTTCACTCCGTTGGCTGTCGGTATTGCCCGAACTCAAAGGAAAGGGGGGTGGAGAGGGGGAGGGAGCAAGTTTGTGGACGGCATTCAGCCAACGTACGTCGTGTATAGTTGTGTAATGGATCGGACAGACTAAAAATCTCTTCTGCTTATGGCATTATACCAAACATATGCAACATTTTGGAATCCTGGATTGCGTTAAGGCTGGCGGTACTGGGTTTGGACGGCAATCGGTAGAGGGAGGTGTAAAAAGTGATTGGTGGTGTCAGCATCGGACCTTCGGGTTCGCTACCTTTTAATTATTATTATGATATAAAGTGCCACTTCCTGTAAGTCGATTTTAAGGGAAAAATTGCTCTTTCATCCCAGACATATATCAACCTTAAATATCTAATTTCAGTTTCTTATGTATTTTCGTTTTTGAGCTATACTATTCAAACACGCACAAAAAACATATCTGCGCGCGCGTACACACACACACATACCCACGCGCTATTTTGCCAAAATTTGTTATTTTGATTCATGCTGTGTACCTGTTGGAAACAGGAATTCGGAAATTTCTCTTGCTATATATATGCAGATAAGTGAACGTAAAAAATCCACTAATCTATGATTGTAAAAAGATTTTAGGGGACGGTGTGGCCAAGCGGGCTAACGCGTGTGCACAGCAACGCGCGTTACCCGAAAACCTGATAACCGAAGTTGGAAACAATAAAATAATTACGTTCGCATTCCGGTGCCCAGGGGGACTTTTAGCTCTGGCGTTAATCCCCCGCCCTCACCCCCTGGCCCAGAAAAACCCACGTATAACCTGTAGGGCGAGAACAAAAAAAAATATAAAAAGGTTTTACTAATATTTGGCTGTTATCCACTATATTGAGACATTATAACAGATGTAATAAAATTTTGTTTTATTGATTGGAAAATCAGATTAACACGATACACAGTTGTATCAACTGATAGTCCAAAAGTTCCAAAAGTACTTCTAAAAAAAATAAATAATAAAAAATCTGATTGTTTTGTTTTTCGTGTAAAATTAAGAACCAGTAAGATTTATCATTTCTGTACAAAGAACATGTAAACAGTTGTTTTATCATTTCACTTAAATATTATATTAATGAATACAAAATTATACAATTTACCTCACTGCCCTCCACTTGGCACCAGATCCCGTAAGAGCGAAGACGCTTTCACTAATAAGGCTATCATCCTCTATCAACAATGGTCCATGATCTGGAAAAGTTGAGAACTCTCTGACAAGAACTTGTTCGATAAGCTCTGGATCCCGAAGAACCAGCGTTGGTGTCATGAATTCGTACATACCGATCATCCTTTCGTTTGGAAACGCATGATAGATCTGCAAGTATATTTGAACTGATTAGTGATTTATTTATTTGAAATTAGTTTCAACGTTAAACGAGGGGTGAATGAATAGTGTACCTTATCATAGTAATAGCTCACGTGTTTGTCAAGCCTCAACAATGCTCCCAAGTTGCCAACTATTGGCCAAGGTGCTAGGTGCTTCACTCCTCGAACTTTCCAATAGATCATCGCACTCCAGACAGAAATAAAAAAGTAAAGAAGGCCACATATTGCAGTGATTATAAAAAGTGCTAAGGGAATCTGATACATAATGCAAATCAATATAATAATAAGCTCTGTTAGTTCTTTTCTTCTTCACTTTTCGCTCAGTTTACCTTAAGGATGAATTATTACTACAAAAAAAAAAAAAAAAAATAAATAAATAAATACAAGAATTTAAAATAAGTAGGAAATCCATTCTTACCATTATCCTGAATAGTCTAAAATCATGTTTTATTTTTGTATTTTTTTTTTTTGACACTAGAGATAAAAACGAATGAATTCATGGCCACGTTATGTGAAAATGTTTTGGTTGTGCGAAAATTTGCTACCAAACAATTACTAACACATAAGAAATTAAGCTCTTGAACGTTCTTAGTTTTTTTTTAATACCAGTGACCAGGGGACTCCCAAGATATTTGATTGTTCTCATCTTCGTAATAATAATTAAGTTAAAGTATAATTTTAAAAATAATATGTCATATACAATTACACTTTCAGTGGTCTATTCTATACTTTTCTCTTGTCCAATGTTTTGAAACGTTTCATTTTAAAAATTCAAAACCCCCTAAAAATGTGAATGTTAATCATATTTAATTAAAAATAACGTTGCGAATTTAGTTTTGAGGAATAATGATATGATTTTATAGGACTTAGAAAAAAAACCCTTATCAATAGAGATATATTTAAAAAAAAAATTAAAATTTAATAATATAATCGAAAAGATTTTTCCTTTTTACCTGATCCTAAGAAGAAAACTTTACTCTTAGAGTCCAGTAGAAAAAATATAAATAACAACATACCTAAGTATGGTGACTAAATTTACATATATATACATTAGATGAAATTCTGTATTAAGGAAAAGGATGGCTTATGAGAAATAAATTACAACGAAAAGAACAGAATGTCATTTAAATTCATTTTCTTTTAAAAATACTATAAAAAATAAAAAATAAGGGAGTTTAAAAACATCCAAAAAAAAAAACTAATTACTTTAGTAGCAGCTAATAGTGTAATATACTAATTTAGATTTTAAATATTTATTTTTAATTCCTGGAGGACTATAAAAATAATTAATACTGAGTTATGTAAATAGAACTAAGCTAGAAAATAATTAATATGGTAAGTCATATAATTTTCATGCTGGCATCAAATATCTCCTTCGTCTAGTATATAGGAAATATGCGATCTTTATAGTGTGCCTAATGCGATATTGATTCGAAAAGTAATTGTTAGACTATTTAAATAATAAAAAATAGTCTATTAAAAACGCTGTTTTCTAAGAAAAAACAAAATTAGTAACAAAAACTCAACAAGTGAAGTATTTGGGTATAGAGTTGACCCTACGAAAATAAATATTGTTTTCATAACTACAAACTTATATAAAACAATTACAAATCGTATCGTACTTACACTTAGACGATTAGAATGAAAAATAAACTGGAGTTAAGGTCACTAATCAACTGTGATAACAATTTTGTCTTATCGCTTAGGAGAAGAAAACCGCGAGAGGGGAGGCCAATAGAATCTATTGGTCATTGTTACGTCATAATATTTTATATCCAATAATAGGCCACTTTAAACTCCTGGATTATTCAAAATTTTTTTTTTTTGGCATCAGGTAAAATAAAGTTATGTAAAATATATCAAAAATCCGAGATTAAATGAATATTCAGAAATTGTGAATAATAGATGTAAACTATGAATCTAATATATAAAAATACTAAGTAAAAGTACTGGGTTATCAAGAAAATAAAGTAGAATTCGTGCTTTATTTATATTTATCCTCTATATGATTATTATTTTGTATGGATGTCAACATTTATTGTTAACAAAAAAAAAAAAATTGTCTTCTCTAGCATTTGATAAGTTGAAAATAATTCAATATTTACGAAGATATCAAAACATATAATATATGTGATTTTTGCCAAAGGCCATAAACATTAATGAAGTCTGGGGCGATGGTTTAAAAATTTTAGTCTTGAAGACGAACATGGCCGTGGAAGTTTTTCTTTCCTTGATAAGCTTTGATGTTCCAGAGTTTTGGCCGAAGAAAACCCCAGAACAACTTTTCGAGAAGTTGCAGAGAAAATCTCAGTTAACAAATCGACCATCATTGATCAACTCAAAGCAGTAGCTGATCCAGAATTTAATTTTGGTGCAGGCTTCAGCCCGAAAGCTTTTTTTGTATAAATATATATATATGCATAAAACGATAATTACTTGAGAAGAAACAGACAGAAAATAACTTCCTGTCTGAAACGTTGTTTAAGTGATTCTTGAATCCCTATTAAAAATTCAATACACGAACACTAATATTTTTAGAGATAATTCTAAATATTTTTTTCATAAGATATGTTTGTATTTAGTAGCTGTATATGCATTATTGTTATTTTTTAAAGTATTCAGCTTGATCACTCACAACTTTTATAAAACAATGAAAAAATAATGTTTCCATTTTGAGAGGGACTTAGCCCAATAAAGTCATATCATTATTTTATTTTAAAACTGCAAACCTGGATTTATTTCCGGATAACCCAATATATGAAGGAAATAATTGAACTACAACGCGCTTCACGAAAATAGGCGCCTGAGACCCGCAGAACAATAATAGAGTCTTGTCGTAAGAGGCCAGAGCTCGTGTAAATAAATTGAAATTATTTGATGAAAACATCGAATGCATTTATTTTATATATATTTATTATATAAGTTTCTGCCAGTAGGATCTTGCTATCTGCAAAACTAGCTTGAGGATCGAAACGGAAAATTAATTGCGCAAAAAGTACAAACAGTTTTAATTTTTTAAACTTTTATATATTGGCTTGGACATGTAAATAAAATTGCTAACGCGGCCCACCAAGAGAAAACTTTTTGTAGCCAGACTTTTTCGATATTTTTTTGGTTATTCACGTATAACGCCTAAACGGTGCATAGTTCTCTTTAAGAAATTAAAGAAAGTTAAATTTTGCATCCAAGTACCTAAACCCAATAATTTGGTTTTCATAATTTGGTTAAGGGGCATGGTCTAAAAACACGGTTAACGAACGCTAGTTTTTATCAAATTTGTCAAAAACTGAGACAAATTAAAAATTTCCGACTTGGAAATGAGATCTCAAAAAGCAAATATTCATAGAAAAAAAGTTGTAGAGCATCAAATTCCACGCCCAATGAGTACCAACAGTTTTAATGCAGGTCAATTGTATATCTCGAATCGGGATTCGTTTCTTCTACATGAAATTCGGTTTCTTTTTCTGTCTCATTTCTCAAAACCCTTCGCTGCTGAGAGGCGGAATAGAGTCCTACACTGTATATACTAGACTCTTAACAAGAATAACTCACTAGAATAGACATCCATATTGATAAAATATTTAAATTCACAGATATCTTCATTACCAATTTCTACCCATTGCTATTCACTACCTATTTTGAGCAAAGTAAGTGACCTACATTAAAACCTAGATTAAAAGTACCTGAGTTAATATTATTCATAATAATAATTTCTAAATTGCATGTATTGTTATATAGTCTGTGAAGCGTGGAGTAAAATTCAAATTGAAATTTGTAATTATAATCGAAAAATATAAGTGATACAAGATACATTGTATATCTGGCTTATGGATCTCAGTATGCCATACAGACTTTCTATTTCACAGAAAATATTTAGAAACAGTCCAAATCTAGTTGATCTGCAGCTGGTCCTACCTCTGCCAATTGACTATAGTGATCACAGGGCTATGTTCTCTAATTAAAAACGGCAGAACAAAGGAGGATATCAAAGGCTATTATTAAAGCCAGAACAGCTAAGAGTAGGTGGTGGTAGATTGAAAGAAAATATTGGCCTTTATGAAATATATATTACATAGATGATATGCATATCCCCTGAGAAAACCAATTATTTAGTGTTATTTATTTTTTTATATGTTTAATATTATACCAGGGAAATATAGGTAAAATGTTAATTGAATTTAACTGATCTATCAATAAATTTGTAAAATTAGATAATTTACAAAAATTATTTTTGTTTCCAATACTTTTTTGTTTCAATTTATTTTAGAGGTCATATCGTAAACATTTTCTCAATTTTTATTTAAAAATCTAATTAAATACAGGACAATATTGTCGAAAATAAAGATTAAAAACGATTAAAGATGAAGAGAAACAAAAAAAAAAAAAAAAAACTGGTACTTTGCAAGACCAAGACCGGCTAACTATTGCAAGACCGATAACAAGACTGGTAAAAAAAATCTAAGTAATACTGATCACCCTTGCTGTTTCCTGATTATTCCATTTTGCAAATATTTTAACCTTTTCTCAGTTGCTTTACTGACATGATCGAACAGAGGTGCGCCATACAACAGAGCCGGCCTTATTGTGCTTGTATAGATAAGGAGCTATAGGCGAAAAGATAGGAATGTTGTAGTAATTAAATTTTGGAGTTTGTACGTCTTAGATCTGTTATGTAAGATAGAATGTCAAGTAAAGTTTAAATGTCAGTTGAAGTGAATACCGAGATAATTTAATACTTATGTTGTGAATTTTGAATTCATTTGGTATTTTCTTTTTTCCTTTTTGATATGACAATAAATTTCTTTTGTTTTTTCAAGTTTAACATCTATGTTGATGTATTCTTAAGTTTTTTCACAAGCTTTTTCCGCCTGCTGCATGGATTTGTTTGGAATTTATACTGCTACTCGAGACATCAATGTCATCAGTAAATGCTGTTACAGAAGCATTTTGGTGCTTAGTACCTACTTAATGCTTAGTACTATTTCCGCAGTATATAATAGAAAAAGAACGGAAGATAAAAACAACTCTTCACAAGTGACATCAACAGTGTTTGATTTCTCATTTCCTACTTTTACTGATAAGGTGCGACGGCTAAGAAACGATTTTAACAAGGAATATAATTGTTCAGGACAATCTAGATTAATAAGACATAGACAAAGCTGAGCAACGGAATCAAATGCTCTCGAGCAGTCCATCGAGTCCATCCAAAACAGTGGGCTTATTTCGATTAACGTTTTTGGTTACCTCTACCTGCAGTTTTACTAGGGAATGTTCAGTCCACATGTAAGTTGGAAAACCGAATTGCTCTGATGGGATCAAATTATTTTGTTTGTAAAACCTTTTTCAGGAGTTCAAAATGACTTTTTTCGAATGTTTTGGTAATGTGAGCTAACAAAATTACCCGCCGGTAATGAGCAGGATTATTTCACGCTGGTTTTAGCAGTGGAAATAATACAGCGTTTTTCCATGAATCCCAAAGGTAGCGAAGCCGTAGGCAAGAGTTGTAAAGGTTCATCAGTAACATTGTACCTATCCTTGTAATTGCTTGAGTAATACAATCTGAATTCCATCAACACCTGGTGCACGGTTTCCTTTAATCCTTCGGAGATTCGCTTTTAATTGTTTATAAGAAACAAACATGTAATTATTTTCCTTCTCTAAAATTGGGGACGAAATCATGTTTCCTGTTGCCTTTTCGATTTCTTCCCTGTTGTATTTTGCTAACATTACTATTCTTTGAGATTTAATTGTCTGTCGTTCTGATGGAGTTTGACAGAAGTAGACTCCATATTAACATTCTTTTCGATTCTTTCACAACTTAATCGCAGTATATAGCTCCTATTTTTCTTACCAAATACTAGTTGTCCAAATCTTTATCAAATTACGTATTTGGTTTGTTAAGGAATTCATAACCGACTTGAGCGAAACAAGTTGCAGAGAATGTGAAAGAGGGGCTAATTTAGGTATTGCAACGTTTCCTGCAGCCAAAAAAACTGTTACATAATGAGGCTCTCTGAGTGTCAATGTCAATCTTTGTTCGAAGATTTGGCAATGATTGTAATGACAGTTTTATTTGAATGCGGTATAATCTCCAATCAGCATTTTTACAGTCATACCAGTGATCTAATACCGAATCAGCAATTTGGCTATAGCTTATATCTATCCTCTGTCCAACAGTTTTATCGAGTTGATGATCCTATCGTTGTTACTTTCGAAAACAAGGAATATTGTATTTTTCTAGACAATGAAAACATACCTCAAACCATATAAAGCCAATCGTAGATAAGTACTAGAGTGATAAAAAGCAACCAATTTGGATCTCGCTCATATCTCTTCACTGTGCCACAACAGTGTTATCGAATTCTGGATCCTATCTTAGTTACTTCAGAGGACAATAAATATTAGAATCCCCCGCACGCGGCCTCCAAATGTTTTCCAAATGATATTTATTAATCTAGCACTAAAATTAATTAGTGTTTAATTTTTTAAGTTAAAAAAATTAATAGAATTAAGGTGAATATAGTGATATATAAAAATAGCAACAGTAAAATATAAAAAACGGTTGCGTCCTGCATCGGGACATTCAAACTTTACAGCAGCCTCTAATTATAAAAAGGTTTCCCAACAACGCTCAAGACAATAAAAAAAATAAATAATGTGAGTGCTTTAGACGACACGATAAAAGTGAAATCATCAACAAGGCGAGATTAATAATATGAAATATA